TTTTTTTTTTTTTTTTTACTTCGAAACGTGTGGATTAAGATAAGTTCTCGATGCAGATAATTCAAGTTCGAGTTCCACCGTCGTTACACAGCAGATGCAAAACTATGTAGAACATTAGAAACGTACTCGCTTTGATAAATTTCTGTCCACATTTCAGGCTACGTTTCTTCAACTGTGCTTGCAAAAATTCGAAATTCCACAACGATCCACAACGTATATTTATTACTTTTGGTGGTGTTCGGAGATGTTATACGAATCGGTAATTGAATTCGAAATGGACGTAACGGAGAGTTAAAGATGTTACGATACAGACATTGGCGCGTTCGCGTGAAACTTTTGCGAGAGAGCAAAAATCCGAGTGCAGAATGCACAGCCTGCAGAGGTTCACCTTGTAGCGAACGTAGTTGTTCTATCGTCGAAAGGGGGAGATGCGTGGTTAATGCAACCCGAAAGGGATGATCTCGATCGAGAGGATGAAATCGACTTTCTTGGCCGGAACAGATACCAGCAACGAACCCTTTCCACGTTGGAGATACTTGGACTAATCTGGCAATCAATCTTGGGGTAGGCATAGCCAGAAGCCAACAGCTGCGTTCGTTAAAGTCGGTATGACGTCACTGAGAAAAAAAGATCACTCCCTTGCAGCATCTCATTCGAAGTAAACGACTACGTGGCCACGATTTTCCCACCCTTGGATCTACCACCTTGTCACTTTCGCGCAGCTGCTTACGCTTAATTGTTTCCGCGCTCTTATCGAACCTGTTTCGTATTATTTTCGTATCTCACCAGCATCTTTCTGTGTGTCTTTCTGTCGAGTCTTTATTTACGACTGAGCGAGTGAACCAATGAGTTCATTAGTTAATGACAAACGATAGTCTTTGTTTGTTAACTCCTAGTCAAATTCCTGCAATTTGTCATAGTGGACGTTCGGCAGGTTGTTATATCAGTTTTAATGGTTCCTCGTGCATTGGAAAAGCATTATTGCAGTTTCACGTGCATACATTTGTGATTGTGTTGCAAGATCTTTTTGTGTAACTAAGAGCGTTAACTAAGGGATTTGGATAATTTTCTATTCTTCCCACACGAAGCAAATTTCTAAGTTCTTGCGTAAGTCTTCGCTCTGGGTGTACCAGAGTACATTGCATAGCTTTGTGACATAAATGTTATCGGTCATTGTCAACAAACGATAGTAGAAACAAAGTTACCGAATGATAATTTCGAATTTCTGGAATTTCGAGAATCGCTTCTCAAAGTGAACGATTGAAAGTGCGAACTCGTCCTTACACGAATTTTATACGACCTCGCAGGATCGCGCGCACGCCTCCGATAAATCCCTGCAAAATGAAACACAAACACAGGCAGCTCGTGTCGCTCGTGGACACTGAGATGTTTGCGAACTCGCAGTCAAGGTGTAATGTACCGTGCAAGATATTTGCAGTCGTAAGTTCGCTTTTATTACTTGTTTGGAAAGCCAGAACCCCTATTCGCGAAGAACCCGTATGGCCAGCGACGGATTACACGCTCGTGTCTCACGGGTCAAGATCATCGTACAACCATTAGCCGCGCTCGTCACCTCATAATCCGTCGACACATGACCCTGACTGACCGGAAGCAGACCCACCACACTTCCATCAGGAAGGAACACGCCGTTAAATTCCTGTTCTACTACCTCGTGACAAACTAATTACATCTGCCCATGGACTCGTTCGTACGAATTTATTAAACGCTCTCTCCGTTTCACCGAGACAAATATTCACCGCGAACTTTGACTTTGAGATTTTTAAAAATGTTTCTTTAATTAAACCAAAGAATCTCTCGCACGTGAGAGAGAACAAGGCCAATATTTAATTTCAATAAATCACAGTTTTTCCTCCCTTCAGGAACTCTTTGTGAACACACTAGTATATTAATGTACATACATTATATTATATATATGATATTCAAAACTACAGATTGCTACTCTTTAGTAATCCCCTTTTATCGTATATTTTACCTGCGAATTACAGGAAAGGAAGCGAAAGACCGTTGTCCCTTTGATCTTATCGACGAAAATTCGAGAACCAGTGAGCAATCGTTCGCTGTATCTGCGAGTCGCTGATTGTGAGAGTAGAATAACTCGGTCGTCATTAGTCAGGCTGATCGTCTGGTAATCCAGTTGACACACGAGTCCTGGGACGTGTTGAGGGAAACGAGACTGGCCGAGTCGGGAAAGCAAGGAAGCACGCCGGTACGTGCCGATGCTGTCACGAACGATCGACCTGTTCCCAATCCTGGAAACCTTTCACCCTTCTAACGAGTTGTCCACGCGATCGTCGATGACCCTTGGCCACTCTGACCCGTGAAGAACGACCGTTGACAGTGTCTGCACCTTTTCACTTCATCTTTCGCGTTGTAGCAGTCCGAACCGGGGAACCGGTGATTCAGGAATCAGGCAGCGACGTCTGGCTGCTTCCTGTTGCAGGAAGCCAGTCCTTGTCGAGCAGCAACCTGCGAGCAGCACGCGTGCTAACCACGCCGCGCGATCCACCCGAGATCCAAACGAGATCGCGTTGCCGGTTTGTTGCCTTCCGGTCGGCCGATGAATCCGACCAGTTCGAATTATTCGTGTCCCTCGACTTCGTTGACCCGCGGCTCCCACGGGGATGACCCCCGACGCCGATGACGAGCGGTCGTCGCTCTTAACTCCTCCTCGTCCAACCGTCCTCATCGTCGTCCCATGTACACACCTTGCACGTGTCGTTACGTGATCGAGGTTCTCGATCGTAAGGAGAATTCGCGCGAGTAATCGACTGGTCCGGTGGCCGGTTGCTGGACTCGTGATGAAGTGTTCTTCTTTGTTTCTTCATCATCGCGGTTATCGGCCGTTCACGCAGGATGGATCGTTTAAAGAAGAGATGCTAATAATAAGAAGATGTGAATGAAGGGGAAGTTACGAAGGTAAAGAGTTCTTGGACTTTATTAAAGGAGAGACGAGGGATGTTCAGTTGATTTATAAAGATGTTTGATATCATTCTTGTTTAAAAATGTTACTGTTAATTTTGCAATGATCCTAGATCCTTCGCAATATTCAGATGTTTTTCCCATCCGGTGAATTGCAACCGGAAAGGAAATGATCCTAGAGATCAATACAAATTTTTTTTTCATTCAAAATTTCGTTTCCGAAGAACTCGAATCTGGAGATTTGTTATTTATTACTTGGACTTGGCTAATTTCGGACTAAACAGCAGTGAACAATTGCAGGAAGAAGGTTATTCTGCGAAAATGAATGAAAAGTGGAATAAAATTTATTCATTTAAGGCTTCGTTTCAAAGAATATAGAAACTTTGAACACTTGAAATTGAATTTTCTTAAAAATAAAGGATATTACGAAAAAAAATTGTACTCTACAGGTTCGACTTATTTTCGCAGGTAGAAATTTTAGCCTAGAATTAGCTAAATTGAAATATATTCCTTTAAACTTAATTTTTTCGAAAACGGAGCTTCAAATGAAAAAATTTTATTCTTTTCTTTTTTACAGAATCATCTCCTGTCTGATTGTATCTTCGGATTGGAAATACTCTGTTACAAATTGTCTACAGTGTGTGTATCTTTTATATTTGAACCGCACTAGTAAACGAACCAAATATCTCCTTTGTTTCAAACATTTTGATTACCTTCATAAAAATACAAATGTTCATAAATATCCACGGTCTAATTATTGAACCACTGAAATAGGAACGTGAGTTGAATATAGTTCCAATTTCTCTCCAACTATCATTTTCTTGCGAAATCTCCTCAAAATTACCATTACTGATGAATGCTTCGATTGCTCGTGAGTTTCCCATAGGTATACGTTACGGTTATTTGCATAGGTTCTGGACAGCAGGCATCCTATGAAAAAGTAAATCGTCCTTTCGTCCCGGAAGGATTCGATTTGACAAGTAGCGATTCCAGAAACCACCTGAGATCATGATCGTCACGGTGGCATGGGGGTCCCGTGCGTGGATAGCAGGCTGAATTAAGAGGGCTCCTTAAGCCGGTGACACATGAACAGGACACATTCAGCCGGAACCCTCGTCCTTCGTGTAGATCCTCAGATATATGACGACTTATGAGAGACGGAATCCCCGATTTTTATTTAAGAGAATTTTGTTCTCTCCGTCCTTCCACTCTCAATTTGTTATCTTAATGACCATCCGCGTCGAATAATTTTTCGCATTACCCTGAAACCCTTCCAAGCCTCGTTCAAATCCTCGATTTATGAAACAGAGATACAGCGGTAAATCGATGTTAATTGATATTGATTCATTGACTGGTAGTCAGGTGAATGCCTCGAGATCTTAAGATTCTCGTTAGAAGAGGATAATTCTGCGAGGATCTCTGTAAATTCCGTGAATTATGAATTATCTGAGAATACTAGGAGAAATGAGCTTCACCTTCTAAAAACATGTTACAACAGTTTGTATAGTCTTTCCGACAAGAAGCTCACACAGACACTCTGAATGATGCTGGTAACAGCATCGAAAGAGTAAACGAAGTGCCAAATGGCCTGGAGAAGATGATCCGACGAAAATGTCCAAAATGTCGATTCTCGCCAACCGGTTTTCACTATCCGTGGATTGAAATATCTTTTTCAAATATTCCTTCCTTCGAACGAATTACAATACTGTGAAATGACTTCACCGAAGAACCGGCTGAAAGTAATCTTCTTGCGAATCGTTCGACCGTTTGAATTCCGCGTAAAGGGTTCCGCGCTGTCAGAAACGAGAGCAGACACGTTTCTGATTTCCCTTTCTTTTCCAGGGGGTTGGAATCCGGTGAAACGATATCCTAATGGGACCGTGACAGGGACCTGTCCGGTGGTCAGAGGTCCAGATGACGAACCGGAAATCGGGTCACAGGGGTCAGAATGCGGAGCCACTGGACGCCGGACTGCGAATCTGGTTCTGAAACGACTCAATTCTCCTCGACGTTCGACCTTTGCTCCCAGGATATAAAAGATCGATTCTTCGCGACGAATGGAAAGGAAATGTTACCTCCACCTGTTTCGACGTGAATACCTGTATTCCCGTTCGACGGATCTTGCAACGAAATTTATTCCAGTCGAATATCCCATTCAGGCGAATACATTTCTCAGGGAAAATATTGGCCCGATCGAGGAATTTTATTATTTAAATCTACCAATCGCAGTGTCTGTCAAAAGTCTTTTTTGTCTCGGTGGGAAATACGTGATTTCGTAGAGTTTGTAGATCTGTTTCTTCTCTTTCTCGTCATTTTCACGGGTCTAACCGTGTTTCTTCATTTTGAAGTAAAATATCTGTCAGATCACAGATTTTGCTTCAGAAGAAATGTGTAATTTCAGTGTTGTTGTTCATTATTTTGAATCTAATCGTGTCTTTTTACTTTTAAGATCAGGTACAGAAAAAAAAGGTCTCCTTGATACATAAATTGAAAAAAACATTTCACTTGTTAAATCTATATCTACAATTCTGAAATAAAATATCTGTCAGATCATTTTGTTTCACAGGAAATGTATAATTTCAGAGTTTGTATTTTTGACATGTCTGGTTATTTTCGACCTAATCATGTTTTTTTTTTTTATTTTTAAGGTCAAGAAAAGTATTAAAAAAAAATCTCTTTAGTATATTGAAAAGCATTCCGCTTTGTAAAACACAAGTGAAGTGTAGTGATATGAAAATTCGAATTATCATGGTACAAGAATAGTTTGCTAACTTATGTAAAATATATCTTATATTTATCAGCTCTTTCTCATTCACCTATATAACCTACACAATAGAACTCCCATTTTAATCTCACAATTAACAAAAAAAAATTCTACGATTACAACCTTGCGTTCCGCGCAAGAACAAAGGGCAAAGAAGAGAAAGTAATCGATCCATCGATTCACCGACCGAAATCTTTTATCTGCCAATAAAAGGGGGAATAATACCTGTGGAGAGAAGAAGAAGACGAAGAAGAGGAAGAAAAAGACAAATAAAGGACCATTCATGCGTTCGTTTAAGGATCTGGTCCCGCAGGGCCACCGAAGTTTTCACGAATCTCCCCGTTCGACGAGGAAAACACGGCGGGAATCGTTTCAGGTAAAGATGAGCCGACGAATCGTTTCTGTTGTCAGTCTTCCTATCTCCGGGACAATGGCGTCCCGTCGTCGTCTCGTATTCTTCGGCCTAATATTTCTCTCGGAACCCGGCAGCGGAACGCGACCAACGAACGGGAGAACCAAAACGAGACGACGAAACGTGAATAAAACGCGCGAGAGAAAGAGAGAGAGAGCAGGCGTACAAGCGAGGAAATATCTCGTGATGGTCCCGGAAGAAATATACCCCTAACCGTTTCCCATTCTGCGATCCTGCCAGTTCGGGGCGAGGGGTTGCTCGTTCAACTAACTTCGTCCACGGCGCTTTGCCAGTCGGTGAGCGAACTTATTTGGCCGAGAAAGGGGTGCAACTGGCGAAGCACTGGCACGGCACCTTGGCTAGATCAGCGGAAGAGAAAAAGAGAACGGAGAGAGGGAGAGACAGAGTTGAAAGGTGCTTGACGAAACACCGGGAAACATAGAGAGAAGAGGGGTTGAACGAGAGAAGTAGGCTGCGGTATTCGGCGCAGAGAGAAGGGGTGACACGTTGCACGGGATGCTGTGGGAATGTTCTCACAGAACAGAAGAGATCACCTGTAGCCATTTGGGATAGCCTAGTATCCTGCGCCTCGAAAGTGGCAACCTCTTACCCCCAGCGATCGGTGTCATCTGCCGTGAGCGACAGATCGATCCCGAGATCCGGCCTCGAAAACGCTGGATACCGGGGCGATGAGAGACTCTGCGATTCGCGGACACTTTGTATTCGACACACATTTGTTGGAGAACCTTTTGAAAAATTACTACGTTTAAACAAGAAACGACCTTCTTCGGTGGTGGTGGAATAATTTATGCTGGAATAATTTATTTCAAATTCCAGGGGAACAGGGGATAAATAAAATTTGCACGTCAACGAAAAAGAGAATTCGTAAATCCCTTGGATAAAAATCGAGGGCAACGCCGCTTATCATCGCGTTGCTTCACGCTCTCGGCGTCAGTCACAGTTTTCGTGTTCCTGGCCGATGGGCCGGGTACGTTGATGTATAAAAGTTTCGTTCCCCCAAGCCGCGCGGGGGAAACGGCGCGAAGCCTATCTCTTCGGAGACGAGATAACCGACCTGCCGGTATTTTCTCTCGGGCCAAAGAGCACGGAGGCACCCCTCCGTGCGAGGTTGTATCCCTTTTAATTTTAATTTCCTACCGAAATCCCTTCCTTGTAAGCGCGCAGGCCGGGGCCAGTCAATGACTGTCAGACGAGCGGAGAGAAAAATGCGGTGGAACGAGGACGGAAGAGGGAAGAGGAAGAAGAAAGAGCCAAGGGAGATGGAGGCGAGCAGCGGGAACGAAGAGAGGGCAGAGGCAGCCTCCACGCTTTTCCACGCACATCATCCCTTTTACATTTTAATTTCTCCCCTTTCGCGTCGGCCTTTCAAAGCCTTCTGTCCTCTCTCTCTCTCTCTCTCTCTCTCTTTCTCTCTCTTTTTCATCAACATCGTTCTCCGCGTCTCTCTGTCTCCCTGGTCCTTCCCTTCTTCGACTAGGTGGCATCCCTTTAACATTATAATGTTCCCTCCCTGCTGGCGTCTTTCTCTACGAGCGTATCGGTATCTCTTTTTCTTGCGTTGCCACACCGCCCCTTCGTTATGGTGTAACGTACCGATTTATGGGTTAGCAAGCGAATTCTAAGGAAATGTTATGCCATCGACCTGGAATCGATGCGGAACCGTTGCGAAACGATCCTCGTGGACGTGGAACGGCCGCGTTTACTCAATTTCCGGCCCTTTTTCCGGGAAGGGGGAGGGGGGAGGAGGAGGGCAACCGTTTAACCTAGATTAAATTAACAACGAAAGTAACTGGTCCGTGGTGAGCGTTACGTAACGTAACGGGGCATATTTCTAACCCCCGAACGAACGAAATTATTGTCTTCCCGTGCGTACGAATTTTCCACCGGTTGGGAAATAAATTCCTCTGACTTTCATCCCTGTTGCCACGTTTCGCGTGGTATTCCCAATAAACTTCTCTCTCTCTCTCTCTCTCTCTCTCTCTCCTTTCTTTTTTAACAACAAAAGGATTTAAGGCATCGATATCGATTAGAAAGGAAAAGAATTCCTCCTCGTCTCGTTTACTAAATAAGTAAATAAATCTCTGTGTTGTGAAAAGACGAAGGACGAAAGATATCGCGCATTTCGAAAATTTCAGAATCGAGCTGAACGTGCGAGCCCGGTACGAAAAGAAGACGAAGAAAAAGAAAAAGAAGTAATTATCAATTCGTCCCTCTATTGCTACGACCGGCACGTGCCTCGCCCTTCCTCCTCTCCTCCGACGTCGTTTATCGCGCGAGAAATCGACGAATGGCCCCGGAAGTCACGAAATCGTGGTTGCATCGCCAGAAATTCCCGGAAAAGCTGCGCGCGTGCTGCTGCTGCTGTTGCTGGTGGTGGTGGTGGTGGATCGTGGGGAACCGTTGGAAACGGTGAAACGTTCGGGGCCAGGATTATCGAATACCTGGGGATTTCGTATCGATCAGATGAAAGAGCTTGACGGAGTCTGGCGCGCTCGAGAATGTGTGCCGAACGAGGGCTGGCATATATTAACGGTCTCCCCTCCCCCCCCCTCCCTTCCGCAAGGAAATTGGATTAAACCGACGGAATTATTCGCGAGGATTTTTGCATACACCTCACGGACGTAAGACGTTGACAATTGCGAGCAACGGCACAATGCGCATTTTCCTTACCCTTTGTGCCGTTTGCCTGTCGCAATGCGAGCCTTTTTCTCTCGTCATTGAAAAGCCGACGGAGGGATCCTATCCGTATCGATACCATCCACGGACGGACGTCTTTCTAAAGCTGGAAACCGACGGTTAAGAATATTATCCGGTTACGCGTGCCGTATGTAGATTTCGCGTGCGGCGTCGGCCATCGATCGTCGATCGCATTGTGCGAACGAAAGCAGCGAGAAAAGTGGCGAGGCGCGGAGAACCGTTTCCCAGCGAAGAGGAGAGCAGAGGTGAAGTACACTTGCGAAGATGCGCGAAGACTGTGCGACAGGGTAGATTTCCGTGTTCGACGAAATTGAGAAAACCGAAAGTATTCGTAAGTAGAGAAGCAACTGGACAAAATGCGGTAAAATGTACAATGTATTTAACTCTTTGGCACCTATGTGGTCAAATGTTATTGACAATATTGGATCAAACGTAAATAAATTCTAATTCAATAATCACATCTTCCATTGTTTAAACGTGATTATTTTACAATTATTTCATTTAATATGAGAAAGCGTGGTAATAAATTAATCGCAAAAAGGCACAAATATATAGTTTGTAGAAAATATAAAAACAGAAGACAGATGAATGCAAGAAATGTGATGCAGGATTATGCATTGACCCATGTTTTTCGAATTGTACCATACACTACTAGATTATTAGATATATTATAGAAATAAAGCTTGAAGCTGCTGTTAAACTTTTAATATGTGCGCTAATAATTCAGCACAGAATATGAATAAATAAATAATTAATATTCGTTCGATGCAGTGCAATTCAGTGTTTTGTTTGTTTCAATATACTTTCTGAGAAATGCACGCTGACGAGAAATTTCGCCGTTCTCAATATAATTTGCGATTCAAAGTCTACCGTGGGAGTTGATAAGAAGGTAGACGTCATTTCTGTGAAAAAAATGTTCTTTTTGTAAAGAATTTTGCACAGATCGAAAGTAATATTGAACACTTGAAGTAATATTACGCGTTCAATCTCTATCATTAGCGATTATTTCCACTACTTTCTGCCACTCTCCACCAATTTTTGCATACGAGACAGACAAAAACCTCCGTAATTTCTCGGATTACAAGTATATAAAACTTACAATTGTTAAGACATTTGGCAGTCTATGCTTCATGATTGACCAAACAACATTTTCAATTGAGAGACTGCGATGACCAATCCAACACGCTGATAATCTAACTGCATGACGCAGTTTTTTCAATGCTTGGGATCATTATCTTCTTGAAGCATCGTAGTTTCCTTCGTTGAACTAGTGTTTCACACTTCAAAAGTACTCTTTCGTACAATTTGATCGTGTTGCTTGTTTGTAAAGTCCCAAATCCGCGAACGTTAAAGCAGCCCGAAACATGCACTTTTATTTTATTTATCGATGTTCTCGACAGTTCTCTGGATAATTGGATTTCTGGAACCAGGCTGGTTTGACAGGCTTTGGTGAATCACGAAGCATAGACTAGAAGCGAAAGCCTGAGTCGTCTAATTCGAAAAATATGGAGGAGGTCTTTGTCTGTCTTCAACGCTGAAAAGTTCAAGTCCAAGTATAATAATCGCCAGATGCTGGAGATTAAATACGTACTATATTAATTGAATTCTATTCTAATTCGCGATTGTATTTCAAGTGTATGTCGTTCGGTCTGTGAAAAATTTTTTATAAAAAAAATTTTCTTTTCTTTTATTTTGCAGAGAGATGAACGTCCACGTTCTTGTTAAACACATTGTATTTTGCAGAGACTCTGAGAAGTTTTGTTCCGCGAAGTCGCGTTCCGATATATAATTGGAAAAAAGTGTAATTGGTTCTACGTAACGAACGTTATTCACCGCAGTGCACGTTGAATTCGTGGAATTGTTCTATCGATAGAAATTGTATCACTCTGGTAATCTGAACTGTTGTATTGACAATACGCTGGGCGTAGTGCGGCTAACCTTGTTAAACGAAGGAATGAAAATTGCATCAGGAGGAGAACAACGGATTGTAAATGATGTGCTTTCGATGTAATCGAATTTAAATTTCGATTCGAACTATCCGCGGCTATAATTGAAATCAACTTCAATTTTACTTTCAATTTCGACTTCTATTGAAACGAAAGTTCTCGTTCCCGAAGGGGACGAGAGGGGATCCTTGGTTCTGAAATTATTCGTTCGAGAGACTTACGAAAGAAAAACTCCCAACTTAATTATCCTCTTCTACTTTCTAATTCTACGAATGAAATTATATTACCAGACGTCCAGAAGCGCTAGTGCTGGAACAGCTTTACTTTTGTCGCGCTGTTTATTCATCGGAATACTTCTTCAGAATCCGAATGTCGAACGGTGATTTCAATAGGCTGTTTTTCAAAAGTCAATTCGACGAGCTGCAAGATAAATTGCCTATCTCTCTGCAAGAAGATCCGAGAAAAACTCGCGCAACAAGCTGACCTCTCCGAGAAAGAAAGCATTAAAAATATCCGCCGCAACGTCGTCGCCGTGAAGTAACAAACTTGGGACAGGATAGTTCGCCCGTACTTTTAAATCACGCGAAACTTCGGCGTGAACTGCAGCTTGAACTTCGGCCGGTTGGCCGTACACCTCGTCGACTTCCAAAGATATGACTTGGATAAGCAGATTGCACCGCGAACTCGAATCGAGCACGCGTTCCTCAATTTTTCAAGCTGGGGTTTTTCAGATCTAGGCCTGTTGTAAGTGAAGTTGGCTGGCCGATGGATGGCCTAGCGTTCGTTTCGTGTAAATATTACACGACCTCACCAGCCCGTGCAGGGGGAATTCACGAAGGGTGGAGCGTCGACCGCAAGAAAGATTCGTGATTAATATACCGCTTGACGGACTCCTGTCCGACACGAGGAGTGCCTCGTTCGAGGGTTGGCTAAACGTGCGAAATACTCGACAGCGTGCAACGGTGCTTGCGGTGCGCCGCGCGATTTATTTCACTAGCTGTAAAAATACTCGTCTTGACCACGTGTCGAACACCGAGCGACGAGATAGAGAGAGTGTGACAACGGGATTTATGTCGTCACGCTTGTCCCATGATTAATCTCCGTTCGGGAAGAATACTACTCTTGTCCTTTAACATGATCAACGAATTCCAGATTGGTTTCTGATTTTGTTATGCAGCATGTTTTATTTTAACTGACTTTCGTAACTACCCGAGAAACTTGTTCCGTTTCTATGGGGACCGTTCATCTCCAGTTTTTTCAACATGGAATTGTACATTTTTATGCACCTCTGTAGACATTTGTTGAAAAATTATTTAGAGGGAGCACGAAGTACAGGAATACTGCTTGTTCCTTCTTGTCTTTCGTGAGATTGATTTCTTACAAAATTAAAGTTAATATATCTTTTAAGCTAATTATTTTTCGACATAGATTAATATTTCTTTTTTCATGAAGCATGAAAAAAAAAAAAATACGCGATTCTATTTAGAGAAATAAAAGGTGAGCATACAATCTTGGAAACACTGCCTCCCTAGACAAATCCGATGATTACTGTCCCTTATTTTTTACAATACCGAATACTTTTGAAGTAGAGGTTCGGAGTACAGATTAGAATAGTACAAGTTTCTCGATTTCATCTAATTGGATTTAGAATTTTGTGTATTTTAGATTACTAGTTATTACAATATTCACAGTTCTAAATTTTTCTAGAAATACGAATATATATTCTATACCTTTAAACGTATCATCATTCAATACATTCAATGTATAAATCAATGTGCACATTGTTACAAAATGATATAATTGAACATAATGGAAATAACGATTGAAATGGACAATGAATAATGAATTGAAAATGATATAATGAAATAATGATGTATGCCAATGCTTTTTACAGCCGCTTGAATCATCTCTGTACTGTCACAATAATTCTCCATTATCATTGCGATGCGATAAATTATCCTGCCAACAGCTGGCAACTTGTCGTAAATTCCAGGTTATGAAGAGGCAAGGAGAGACGGTCGTTTTCGCGAGACACGTGAGCGGGATTACCACAGTGACCACGAGCAAGGACGATGGCAAAGACTGGCGGGGGGGGAGAAGAAGAAGAAGGAAACGATTGAAAGTTCGCCCGACGTGTCTCCGTTGCGAATCTTCGGATTAAGACGAGCTGACGAGGCACGTGCTAGATCTCTCCTGAATACCGCTGCCGCTGAAACTCCAAGTGACCATTGGTCATTGTCGCAGGAGGGAACACAAAAGGAAGAGAACCGGTTGCCTCCTGCCAAGAAGAACGCCACGCGGCACGTGCTGCCAAGCGTGGTCCAGAGATTGTTTTAAACGAGCTGATCCTGAATAGCGCCTAGTGGTAATATCGAGTAGCACCTGTTCATTTGGAGGCATCGAGTCTGTCTCGTTGGCCGGTGAAAAGGAATAGAT